TTCCATGTATCTGTTATTTTCCTTAACCTCTTGATGTTTTTAAAAACGCAATGCAAAATTGTGGTCATTTCTCTGGCCGTTCGCTGGAAGAAAATTGGTGGGAGTCCATCTGGGCCCCGCGATTTTGTTATGTCCAGCTTTGTTATAATTTGGTTTATAAATGTTTTTGAGATACTGAAGTTACTCAAAATCGTGTTTTCGCACTTCATATCACTGAGGTTGAAGCTTCATTTGGGCGAAAATACAGAGTGAAAATATTCATTCAAAAAGTTCACTTTTTCTTTGGCTTTGCAAACAGCTATTTCGTCCTTGATCATAGTCTTTGGGAGTGTTTCTGATTTTTTCAGACTCTTAAAGTGTTTGAAAATTAAATGTGTGTTACGAGTGGACATCAAATTTTCCTGATAGTTTACTCTATCTTCCTCTACTGCTTCTTCCACCATTTTATCTAGAGATAGAATGAGATTTCTGCGGTAGCTTGTAGGTTTCAATTTGTATATTCTAGTTTGTGTTCGCAGTTTGTTCATGATGTTTGAGGTACTTGGCGTAACCCATGGCGGAAGTGATTGGCGACGTCTCGTTCTTCTAGGCACATATTGGTTTACCAAATTTTCCAAATAGTCGTAAAGTTCCTCGCACATTCTATTGATGTTTGTGTGACATACTGGTGAGAAAGGCTCACTTATTATTGATTTCTTGATTTCGTTATAGTCCACGCTATCGAAGCTTCGAAAGTTTTCAATAGCGACCTTTACCTCATGGTGAGGACATTCAATTAGAATGCTGATTGCTTTGTGGTCGGAGCAATTGTAAATTTTTGAGAAATTTTCGTCAGGAGTCGCATGAATGTGACAATTTTTGAATAATGTAATGTCTAGGGTGTTTTTGCCACAAGTTGGAAAATCTATTGCCTGCTCGAACTGATGTTGCTCGATTAGTTCAATTATTGAGTTTTCTTCATTTTCCGTGCTACTATATTCAATCCAGTTTGCATTTGGAAAATTTACATCTCCGCAAATAAGTGTTGCAGTTGATTGATTTGATTTCTCGATTTCATTTAAAATTTGTGCGAAATCGCCTAGACAATAGCGATATTTGCTACTCGAAGGTGGATTGTAAAAACAGCAGACAATAATTCGTTTATCGTTTATTTGGATGCTGCAAGTTAAAAAACATTCAGGTTGCATATTTGGCAACAATTTAGATGAAAATGTTTGTTTCACTGCCATTAGTACTCCACCGAGCAAATTTTGATCTTTGGCTGTTTGTCGTTCTGATCTATAAATACTGTATTCATTTAGCATTAATTCAGATGATGCAATGTTTTCATTTAACCAAGTCTCGCAGAGACATTATGTCATAGTTTGATGTTGCTATAGCAATTGCAAACTTCATTCGTCGTTCGAGATTTATGAGACTTCTTACATTCATTTGCAGGATGTTGAGAAAACCTAGTCAAGCATCATCTGCTTGTTCTGCTTCTATCATCTCTTTTTTACCATCATTGAACAGCTCGAAATTCCTGATTTTGATTTTCTCCTTTGGAACTCCTTCGTCTAGAAGTTCTCTTCGTCTTTTTAAGCATAAGTTTTCCTTCCTCGCATCTTCTTTCGATAATGCTGGCAAAAGGTAAATTTCCTCATCTCGCAGCTCATCTCTTTTTTCGAAGCTCTTTGCCATCACCAATCGTGCTTCATGTTCCGTTGACAGAGTTATTAAAAAAGTTCTTGACTTGATGCGCTCTTTGCTGAATTTCCCTAGCCTTTTCATTTCTTCAATTTGTGGTTTAACTCCTAACTTGTTTTGTACCTCATGTACTTTTTCGGTTGTGGGGACAAAATTTTCGCCTTTTGATTTCTCGGGATCTTCTCTGATCCCCTGTATACGGAAGCTTTTATTGATATTATGATGTATTTCTTGTTTTACTTCTTTTCCAGCTCCTGGTTGAGCTTTCATATCTTTAACAGGTTTCACACTGAGTACATCTGCATAGCTTTTTTCCAGTTTTTCGCATGTGGTTTTTGTAGCGTTTTCGACTTTTTCATCAACCAATGCCGTCAGCCTTTTTTCCATATTTTCAAGACGTGCTTGTATTCCCTCACTCTCTTTTTCAATTTTCTCGTTCATTTGCATCATGGTCCTACACTTTATGAAGTTATCTCTTTCGTTATTAGTTACACATGTGTCACATAGAACCATTGCGTTTAAACCCAAGTCTTTTATGTCACTGATGGCGGTGTTAGTAAGACCAGTGCAGGTGCTCTCAAGATGCGTTTGAGCATTGCAAGATACACAACTGAAACATCTGTCCCTGGCATTTATGGGTTTTTTGCACGTTTTGCAATTTTTAGTCATATTGGTGGATACAGAGAGAAGGAGAAAATGGGATAGAGAATATTTATTTACAATTTGATCTAAGCCTGGACAATTAAGCCCAGTCCCGTCACGAATTGAAATTTAAACTCACAGTTTATTTCTGTTCTCGTTTCCTTCGTGCTTCTCGTTGTTTTTTTGACGGTTTTTTTTTCTTCTTCAAGATATCACTCAAGTTGCTATTGTTGTTTCGTATTACAGCTACAGTTTTGATTTCAAGTGCGGTTTCTTGATGCAGTTCTCTGTATCCTTCAAGTAGATCTTTGTCCTGTTGTTTAGAATTTGAAATTATGTCTGTTGTAACTTGAACAACTGGTATCGGAAGTTTCTTTAGATCTTCAAGAATATAGGGTGCACCGTCTCTCTGACAAAAAACAAGGCCTTCAATTCGAGGATGCGAATTTATTAGGGGTTTGATTTCTGATACTAGTTGATTGGCAGTAAGGGGAGTCCTTGGATTGAATGGATGTTTTGAAATCGAATTGTTTATTACGTCGTGCCAGATAATTACAGACTCGTTTCTATTAATTTCGTCTCTCAAGATGTTTCGTACGATTTTATTCGATTTCGATTTGGGATGAAACGTTACTCCCTTGTAATGAATGACGTCTTCTTGCAGTTCCTCGTTTCCTCCTTCTGATGCCCAATCTTCAAGTGCCAGATGTAATGAGCTCGCTCCAATAATCACAACCATGAAGAAGGGGTCACCACGGCTACCCCGCAAATCATATAACCTGAAACTATTTAATAAGTTTATCACAACAATAATGCAAGTGATGTAATAATTGGAAGCCTTTTTGTCGTGACAAAACCCAACAAAAGTTGTCAGTGCCGAGTAAAAACTGGTATGAACCGTTTCGGTTTTCAGAGTGAAACAGACAAAAATAATGAGAGGCGTACCTCCACACTTAATACTGCTACAATTTCAACGTTAATTTAGCAATTATTACCTGTTTTTCATGCAGTTTTATACCTAATTCAGTTTTCATTGCACAGAAAAACAACAGAAGGAAGACGAGGAAACTGAAAAAATTGTGAATATTTTAGTATTATTCAGTATCGATTGCTTGATTTTAATGGATGAATTTCTTTTCTCAAATCATTATGATGGGTACATTCTGGGCTACTGCACAACAACTGGCTCTCTTTATTACTATAGAAATTTTAGAAAAAAAAGAAATTTTTGGAGAGTTCGAACAGCCTAACGAACTTAAAGATCTTGGAATGATAATGTCAAAAAATCTTAACTGGACTTCTCATGCAAACAATCGTGCGAGCAAAGCACTGAAGGCCCTATACTGCATCAAAAGAAACTTATCACCTGCCACAACCATGAACAACAGGAAAAATGCATATAAAAGCTATGTAGTACCTATCGTTAGCTATGCATCATCAGTCTGGAAACCCTCAAAGCAAGATCTTGCCACCTTAGAAAAAATGCAACAGAGAGCAACGAAATGGATACTTGGAAATAAACAAACTCCTTATAAATCGAGGTTAACCACTCTTCAAATTCTTCCCTTGTCTCTTTACCAAGAAATGCATGTACTACTTTTGTTCGCGAACATTCTAAGAGGAAAGACCGACCTGGAATGGTGGCGATTTATAGAAATCACTGAATCAAATCGACCGAAAACAACAAGACGTTTCAACGCGAAGAACTTTCGACTTCATAAATGCGAATCTGATTTCTGGCAACGCGCCTGCAGCCTGACAAACATATTTCACGATCACCTGAAATATGAAGTCCTATTAAGTGACTCGTTTAAACCAAAATTATCAAGAGTGTACTGGCAATTCTACGAGAAAATCTACAATGAAGTCGATACCTGCACCTGGAGAATCAACTGCGGATGCACAAGATGCTTAAACTTCAAAAAACTAAACTCATTAAACTAAAATATGATTGATCTCATAAACTTGATTCGGGAGCTAACTCCCATGGATGTATCCTAAATTCTGTTTTATTATTATTATTATTATTAGATGAGTTGGCGTCGAATGAATTCGCTGGTAAATGTGCAGGTAAGAAACTTTAAAAATCACTTGGTTAAAAAATAAAAAATGCTTCAGCAAGACGACAATCAAAGTGACTCTGGCATATGAAGTAAGTCTTCTTTGAATTATCTAGCCCTAGATTAAGGTACCCTTTTTTCGGCTATGTCATGTTCTCACACATGGTCATTGCCAAAACGCGCATTCTAAAACCAACATTGATACTTAACATTTATATATAAAGGTAATAAGTGTTAATTTTTCATTTTAATTGAAATTTAAAAATGGGATAAAATAGCATGAGATGCCATGAGCCAATAAATAGAACAAGTCGCTAGACTTAGGTGTCTAAATCCAAATTAAGAGAGTGATGACTATTCTGTAGTCACCGTTCAACAATTGTTTAGTTTTTAAGCAAGAACATCAAAAGACGCATAAAAACATCAAATAAGCAAATTCTTCGAACAAATGATTAAAAATAAGAATAAAACAAGCTGCCACAAACTAAACCAAAGCCGAGACAAAAAAATACAGGCTTTTAACGTGACGAAAGCCGTTCATGAACGTAAGCTGCACGATGAAAAACCCCTCTTAAGAGTAAAATGAGACAAATTGGTAGAAAGGGTTCCTACTTTGAGTGCTGAAATCCGAAGCTCCGTCTTTTTGCTTCTCATCGACTTCTATGGATGCAAGTTGCCTGGAGAGGGAATACAAATTCGTCGATGATCTCGAATTGAAGCCTGAATTTCTCGACATTTTCCTTGAAATTAGCCTGCTCAAATCTGACTCCGTACTCAATTTACATCTATATAACTCTTTTGTCTTTACAAATCCCCAATTCGAGCTTCGTCCACTGGAACTATTTACAGAAGAATAATCCGATACAGCTTTTTCTGTTGGCACCAACCAATGGAAATCTACATCGTTTAACGGCGCCATAATAGTCTTAAAACTGACGTATGCAGAAGGCTACTCTTGTGAAAATGTTGCCGATCCATTTATACAAACTAAAAATTGAGCTGAATTAATTTAAAAGTTGCCGAAAAAAAACTTCCTTTTAGCCTAATTGTTGTGATAACCTTATTAAATAGATTTGTTATGTTTGATGTTTGTGGAGCGCCCTCTGAGGGATTTTGTAGACAATGTCATTTATTTGACAAAATAAATGACATCGTCTACAATGTAGAACATGTTACAAAATGGCTAATTTATTTAAGTCAAGTCAAGTCAAACTTTTAAGACCATTAGGCAGTGTCTCTTGTGGTCATTTCAAATGATTTTTTTCCTATCTCCGTTCGAATTCGTACATGTCAATTCCAAACGCTTTCCAATGTTTGTCCAGTTTCCACTTGAAGTCGTCGATGGTCTTGCTTTGCACTGTTTCCGGTGGCAGATTGTTCAAGCCGAGAGGTGCTCTAATCGTGAAGAAGTTTTTTCGCATTTCTAGATTTGCTTTACGTACTACTACTTTACATGCGTTTGTAGGATTCGCCCGGAAGATACAAATCGACGGAGAACAAAACTAAATCCTAAGACGACTGGCTAACGTCTAAACAGAGCTTTGCATGCTTTTCACCGTCTCTACCAAGCCAGTACTTTCGGTGGTCTTTCTAACATCGGGTCGAGAAAAACGTTACTGCTTTCGCCTTCGGTCAAAACACTCAAATTAACTTAATTACATGCAGAAATAGTGAGCTCATGGCTGGGTCTCAGTATCCCCAGACCACGAGGTCACTCCTAAAAACAGGGCTACTACTACTTATTGAATTATTATTGTTTTTGTTCAGTAGATAAAAATCATCATCTCCATCGAAGATGGATCAACCCTTTCCCCCAACTCCTAGCTTCTCATCTTAGTAGAATGAATTCGGATGTTAATTAAATTCAATTCAGAACATAATAGGAAGCTAAAAGTTCATATAAAACGATAAAAGTTTCAGTCCCGAAACCCCTCCTGATTCTCGAATCCACTGAATCAAGCACGTTAAGCTTGATTTCTCTATAACCCGGAGGGCTGGTTTCCACCCCTCACTGTTGTTAGCAACTGCCTTGCAACTATTGTAGCGACACAATAGTTGCAACTTGGAGCGGTCTCTGTTACTTCTGTTTCTCTCTGTGGTTTTTCGATCACAATCTTCGTTGTTTTCGTCAGCGCAACTATCGTTGTTGTGTTGCTTTTCAGTTTTTCTGCCAAAATGGCCGTTTTTGACGTTTCTGAGAATTGTTACGTCATCACTTCGAAAATTTAAAATTTAGGAATTTCCGAATCCTTCAGCCTTCACGATTTGTCCAATCGTTCGAATAACGTTCTTATTCCTTCTAAATCGCCAATTCGGAAGGTTCGCTGCTAAAAATGCGAAATCGCCGAATCTGCATTTTGGCACATTCTGGTCGAATGTCACAAACTCCCCGGACAGTCCGGTCAATGTCCTCATTGAATCTCGCAATGTTTGTAAAATAGATACAGTGTCATCGAACAGAATTTACAAAATGCGCGGAATTACTTTTATCCACATCATATCGACTCACTGCAGAATATAAATGGCATCATACTACATCACTATAGCCTTCAAATTCTTTCATTAATCCGCACATTGAGGATATGACCTAAGATAAAACATATGTTCCGACTTCCAATGTCAATGTCCTGATTAAAAATTTTTTCTCCTGGATTTAAAAGGTGTTGGTTTGCAGGACAGTCCTGCCAACGAACAAGCTAAAATTATCCTACTATGCTTCTTCCTTTCGGAAATCTTGCTTGCTATTGTCCTGAATATTAAAACTAAGAAACTCTGTGGTTAGAAAGAACAATGAAACAATCTCCCTCTTCGAGAGATTACCCAAGCCTTTCACGTCACCACAAAGTGATCAGTTCTCCTAGCTGATTAAAAACAGTCATGTAGACTGAAATATTTAAATATACTTCTTCACTCAAGCCTTTCTAAATAAATAGTAAGTAAGTGTCTCTAAAGCCACTCAACTAAAATCAAAATGCAAATTTATAATTGCAACAATTTCAAAACTCAACTAAATGTTTCAGTTTTCAATTACAACTTGGTTGCTTGGTTTCTCACTTGAGTTTTTTCACACACATAAAACAATTCTGAGTTTTAACTTTTCCTTCATCACTCCTTTTTTTCTTCTTTTATCGTCGTTTAGAAGTTCTAAAACTTCTAAATTCTTCTAATTTTATCTCTTTTTTGCATCTCGTTTTTCGACTATTCGTCAGTGTTCCATTTCTTCCTCCTGTGATAATGACTCTGCACTCTCAGTTTCTGTATCCTGCAACACGTCGTTAGCTATCCTGACGCTGTTGGAAGCCGTCCTCCAACACTTCTGCTTTTCTACCCTCTGTTTGCAACAAGGTAGGGGATCCACTTTAGATTCTCTGTTCCTGCAGAAGCTGTTGTGGAGACACAACGTCACATTTCTCTCTAAATCTTCCTTTAACATCTCTGCCTTCTCCTTTCCACTACGTTCACTTGTCCTGGAAATTCTTTTCACAGCAGTGGTCACTGCATTCCGATGAGTCACGAGAGCCCGCTTGAAAGCTCCTGCTCCAATGTCCAGCTGATATTCACTGAACACTCTGCCGTGCTTCGACATATGCTTTTTAGCATATTCGTACAACCATGCAGTCATGTTAGCTCTGAACCATGGCATCAATCGTTTTCTTGCCCATATCTTCTTCATTTCCATCGGAATGTTTAGAATTTTGCACATTGTCTCAAAAAAATCTAAATCTTTTAGACAATCCAATTTCCGCATTTGTTCTCTCGTTGGCGCTTCCTGTCTATTGTTCTCTCTTACGTGAGCTTCCAGCCATCTTATCGCCATCATAACTCCCACTATCACTATTGTTATGGGCTGTGATGAGTCTGGTAAACCCATGGAGAGCAGCTCTCCAGAGTCCCAGATCAACATCAGATTACTACGCTTGGGATACCACCAGGTCTGCAGCAAGCAGTGGCAAGGAAACTCGTCATGTGTCAACATGATGCTCCTCCAATTACGTTTTCCCGAAGCTTCCAGTAATGGTTCCACTTCCATCATCACTCGGTGGACTTCATCATTCTCGTCTACTGTATTGTAATCTGTGACAATTGATCCTCTCTGTTTCTGTCTCTCAAAGTCACTGAAGTTCCCGCCCACGTATCCCATGAACTTCTTTCCTAGTATTGATTCCAACTCTTCCTTGGTTCTCTCTGGAACTGCTGAGAACATCTTATATAGCAACTCGCAAGATTTCTCGGACATCCTCGCCAGTCTCACACACTTCGGCACTGAGAAGGCTTGATCCACGATCGTTCTCGTACTCTTTACATCCACGGCTACGAAATGTACCGGGTATCTGCTCTTGCACATTGGAGCCAATGACGATCCCACCAAATATCGTGCTCCTGATGGCCTACAATAAGTCTCACTGTATCTGATGTTCATTTTCGTCTCGATCGCTTCCCTCCATTTTCCTATGTATTTCTGCTCAGTCTGCAGAACTCCTGGGAATACTTCTACACTGAGGGCTGTGACCATCTCATGTTTCTGTTCTAGATTCAATAGTGACTCTAGAGAACCAAACATGCTATAGAATCCTAGTGCAGTCACTAGATTCACCTCGGTCCCTTCATAGCAATCTGCTATCAGTTCCGTTTCTGTTCTTGCTTTCATCACTACGTTTCCAAACAATACCGTCAATTGCTTGTGTTGTTTCTCTAGGGTCTTCACACAGTCCAGACCTCCACAAACGTGACCTTCCAGTCCACAGACTTCCGCCAGACAGCTACCAGGTTTGACCCAGTCTTGTGGTCCCCAGCCAGGCAACTCCACTTTATCTTCTCCGTTGCTCCTAGAGGCCGTTATCATCACATTATATATGATGTTAAGGTCACGCAGGTTACAATCTGCGTTCAGTTCCCTCTGCACGTTTTGTGTCGCCCGTAATATTGAGTCAGCGTTGGGACTAGGACACCATGATGGCCTCATCAATTCCCACACTGCCATCAAGCTCGTTCTCAGTAATTCATCTGAGAATCCCAACCCAAACTCCACTCTTTTGTCGGATTTTGGTACGGAAGGTGCAGTCACCTTTTCTTCCAAGATTAGTCCCAACTTGGTCTGCGGATTAGTAGCGCCTTTAATCGTTGCAATTCTTGACGTCCAGAATCTTAGCAACACCGCCTGCTCGTAACCGAAGAAGCAATCGCGTATGTCTTCACTCAGGAAAGGGTTGTACGCTATCCCTATGATTCCGGATACGTAGCTATACGATTTCTTCTTGATCGGTCCACAGTATTCACTGGACTTCGGCAGTGCCCCCATAGATTCTTTAGTGAGTCTCAGCTCCTTGTTTGAAAATCTCCTGATTTCATCTATCTTTCTCATGGGCTCTAATTCCTCGGGTTCTTTCATGTTCACCCTCATCGGTTTGCTTTGCTGCATATCCAGCAGTGCTAGCAAGAGTAAGGCTTTCGCTCGCTCATCGCCTTCCCTCAGCATCTTAACACAAGTGTTCAATGCAGGTACTGAATTCTGCTCTATCATGAATCGAATGAAACAGAGAGCGTCTCTCCGTTTCGCACACGCTACTGCTGCTCCCTCTTGGACTATCAGATCCCTCAGGTTCGTCATAAGGGAAACCTTCTCTTCTTTTGACCTCTTCCTTTCTTCTGAATCATACTCTTCGCGAGTTAGTCCCATCATGCACCAGGAAAACCTCAGTTGTAACTCTGTTCTTACGTAAGGTACTGCCATAAGAGCGTGTATTCTTGGCGTAGTCCTCATCTCTTCTTCGAAGTACTTTAAAACCACTGCTTTCCATGGAAGGCTCACCAACTGCTCCATCGTTTCTGCCTGTATCTCAGACAACGCTAAAGCCCCGTACGCCTTCTGCTTGAGGGTGGTGCCTTGCAACATTGTCTCTAGATAACCTTCCATGGCACCTTTGTCGTCCAGAGCCATCACGTACCCTCTAGCCGAGTTTCGGTATTCCAACATTTCCATGTATCCACCTTCAGGTTCATCTATCGACACAGCCTCCGAAACTGTCAGTCGGTTGTATTCTACTGGTACTAGTTGTCCTGCGACATTTCCCTT